TGCTTCCCCAGCTGGGGCCGCGATGCCGATCCGGTTTGGTTCGGTTCGCCGACATCGGCCAGCGCAAGCCCGAGCAGCGGACGCGGCGATCCGAGCGCCAGCCAGAGCCAGGTGCGGCGGTCCGATGTCGGTACGGTTCGGGACGATTCGTTGCCAGCCCGGTGCGATCTCGCGATGCGATCCGGCCTCGGCTTTGGCGAGGGGAGGGGAGCCTGGCATCGCTCGGACGTGTGCACCTTTTCTCGGCGAGGACCACCGAAGAGCCTCTTTGATCATCTCGCGGAAAAATGAGCGCACGAAGTTGGAGGATGCACCGGGGATGGACGTCCGAGCGATGGTTGGGGGCGAAAGAATGGACGTACACGTCCATGAATCCGCGTTGGTTTCGAGAGTCCGCATTGCGCGAATGTTCGTATCACGCGGCTGGTCTCGCGGATCGAGGTGTTGTGTTCATGTGCACGGTCGTGCGCGTGCTTCTCGTGTGGGCTCTTTCGATGTCGAGCGAGGGGTCCCCAGGCCGTGGTCGGGCGGAGGGGTCGGTGCCCCCGTAGCCACCCCCCCGTTGACTCCGCACCTGCACTTCTCCTTCTCCTCCTCCTCCTCCTGCCCCTCCTCCTCCTCCTCCTCCTCCTCCTCCTCCTCCTCCTCCTCCTCCTCCTCCTCCTGCCACTCCTCCACCTGCCCCTCTTCCTCCTCCTGCCCCTCCTCCTCCTCTTCCGTCCACTCATCCTCCCCTTGTCCCATGCTCCCTCTCCCCCAGTTCCTTCCACTCCTCCTCCTTCTCCCCCTCCTCGTTCCACTCCTACTACTCCTCCTCACCTCGCAGGGACCTGGCAAGCTCAGGCTTCGACTTAGACCTGCCCCCGAAGCGCCAATCTCCTCCTCCTCTCCTCCTCCTCCTCCTCCTCCTCCTCCTCCTCCTCCTCCTCCTCCTCCTCCTATTCATCATCATCCTCCCCCTCCCCCATCCCCCTCCTCCGCGATTCTTACTCCTTACGAATAAC